CATTAATAATTAAGCACTACGCTATGAAGACGTATGGGGGAGTAGATGTATAGATCCACATTTTCTTGACCTCGACACTAGTTGGAGATAAGTGGTCAGGTTCACGGCCCGGCCGCTTTACCTCCGGGAAAGAGCCCGCGGTGCCCATTGTATAGGAGTTTGGGTGGGCCCCAGAGCCAATTTGGACGATTAGAGAAGTGAAAATTCTTAATCCTACCGGGACTCGAACTCCGACCCCTCTGTCGTCCAGCGCATAGTCAGTCTATACCGACTACAATATCCCAACGAAATAAGACTATAATATGCAGGAAATATGAAAGAAATATATTCACGTGATCTTATGTTACTTCTGGTCAGAACTGAGTCTTGAGTTTTTATTTCCAAAATAAGATAAAATTGCTTTCATTTTGCCATGGCTTTTTTTCATGTCTTCCACAAAACCTAAATTGTTACTTAAATATTTTTTCTTTTCTGTTTTTAAAGTTTTTGATTCCTTTTAATGTTTTACACCCTTACAATAAAGTAATTGTTTTTATAACACAGGTTTTATCGCTGTTATTTTCATACAAATAGAAATTCCATACGGAATATTCACAAAGTAAAATGCTCTGAAAACACAGATGCCTGCTATGTGTACGCTGCTGGTTTCTATGTATCCCTTATGTTGGTATGCAAACGTGCAAGAGTATGACAAAGCTTCAAAGTCGACACTCCACGAGACACTGTTTCATATTCAACAAGGAAAGCAGTTGTATCATCAAAGAAGTTTGTGTAAAGTGGCTGGCACATTTTGTGGAAACTGTGTAACCTAATGACAACCGAAGATGCTTCTGCTTGTGAGTGGTCATTCTAGGCACACCAAGGACGCAGAATTTCTTCAGTCTGTAGGCGACTGTGGCGCCATAAGCCTGTCGTTGCCTGGACACAATACAAATCGGACCCAACTCCTAAATGTGTCTCTCTTCATTCAGTGAGAAGCCTACATAGTGAAAGTGAATAAGGACTAATCCTGGGCGATGCATCTTTCAGGTGGCAGTGGCGATGTTTTTCGGTTATGATACGAAAACTCAGCTACTGCCTTCACAGGAGTCGGTCTACTGGGATGGCCGGTAAACAAAGCTGTATTTAGGCACCACCTTTTTCTCCTTCTACTGTGAATACTCCTGGTGTTGAGTTTATAGAACCGGCTGAGAATGTGCCAGAAGATGAAGAAAGAACAAGTAAAAAATCGTCACAGAGCACAACGAGGTAAGGAAACATGTCTCTACTTGGCTCCGTGGAGAAATTATTGTCTCTTCCGGAAGCAGCGGCTGTTTCGAGAAGAAATATAGAGTCAAGTTGTGTTAGAAGACAAAATAACTGACTTTGCTCCTTCCAGACTACGGCTTAGAGAGGTTAGGAAGGCAAGAGAAACTCAGTTGTCCTTGCCTGTGGGAAAAATCTGGCTCACATTACAGGCAAGCTGCGTGTTACATTTTTACATATAAATTCTACATTGTGCAGCTGACTACTTAATTCCATCTAGTGCCGAGGTCAAGAAAAGTGCAGCTGTACCTCTACTCCCCCATATGTTTTCATTAAGGTAAAGTTGTCCCTGTGCTTAATTAAATAAGCATTATGTCATGAAGGAGTATGGGGGAGTGGATGTATAGATCCATATTTTCTTGACCTCGCCACTAGCTGGAGGTGAGTGGTCAGATTCACGCCCCCGTCGGTTTACACCCGGGAAGATTGCTCAAGATACTGATTGGATAGGAGGTTGGGTGAACCGCAGAACCGGTCTAGACGACGTGGAGAAGAAAAAATTCTTGACCCTACCTGGACTCGAACTCCGACCCCTCGACCGTCCATCCCGTAGCCAGTCCCTATAACGACTGCGCCATCCCGGCTCTGCCTTCATTAAGCACTTATATATTACATGTTTTTTGGCTCGCGTGATGAAAAATTAAATATAAAATGAAAGAGGCGAAGAGACGACTGGACAGAGGTGTGGGGAGCAGCTGCAGTAGACCTGGTGAAGATGCGTGTTGGTAATGCAGTAATGGTCACCGACTGTTAATTACTCCTACCGGAGGCTACATTACCGATAGAGCTTTAGCGGTCGCGAGACAGTGCAGCATTAGGCATTAAGTGCATTAGCCGACAATTCCTGTCTGGTTCGCCCTGAGGATACATGTACATATTCCATTTACGTAGGCAGAGTATGGATGCTTCTGACAGCTATTCTGTGAGGGGTGATAGTGTACGGAGAGGACAGACACCCCCAGGGCACAGTACGCTTCTGTGATCTTATGTGGACACAGTGACCAGTGATTGGCAGATTCCGAATGGGATTTCAGATGGCATCCCCCCCCCCTTTACAACCGCGTATTTTCCCCTCCCTTGTACTGGGCTTCAACTTCGTGTTTTGAGTTTGGAAGAAGGGGCCCATGGCCACATCTCATCTTATCCTCTTTAACATTCTCTTCACACAAGTTCTGTAGGCAGTTTATTTTAGTTTTGGGTGTTAATACTGTATATCCTTGTAAGTAATATATTGTAATGTGTTGTAATGATGTTTCATAATGAAAACACATGTAACTGAAAGGGCAAGAAATAAAAGCCTGTTGATCACATCAACAAAGTAAAACGTAAACCAAATTTTCAAAAGAAATAATTTGACAAATACTCTTAAATTAAGGTTACAATGCTTACAAATTTTTAGCAGTTGTGTAATATCACAATTCAGAGGATATTTTCCGTTATTTTTGTTTCAGACTACATCTACAACATTTCGAAGGATTGTACTTCATCTTCAATGTGGAGGGGTAACCCAAGCGAGGACTCAGAATCGAGCAGTCGGCAGGCAAACTAAATTTGTAAGTTACAAGCAGTTTTTCTTCCCTCTTGTGTCTTGCTGAATTCTTGTTTATCTTAATCTTCGATCCTGAATAAGGAGTCAATTCACTGGTCCGAAAGACAGTGAAATTCTGAACTACACTTTGTTACATCTTAGAATCTATTGTTGTCCCCGCAGCTTCCTCGAGAGACAGACGAAACTTCGATAACCACTGTTAGAATGGTCCGTCACCGAACACGAGACGTCCCAAATAATAAGCAGGGGCGGTAAGAATCTGACGGAAGGGCTCAGTCCAAATATTCGAATTTTAGATCTGTTTATTAGCTAATGTTATATTCATTTTCAAGCATCAGTTTTTAGAAAACTTTAAACGTATTGCCCCCTTCTCTATATGATTATGCACATATTGACGTCTATGTCCGTTTATACAGATTTATAGCGCCCACTTTTGAAGGATTTTGACGAAATTTTAAATCGGGACTAGTAACAATATTTGGAGGCGTTTCTTACAGGTGAGTGTGGGCTGAAACCTTATTTAAGGGCCTAAAGACATTTTCAATATAGACATTCTCCCTTGTTATTGTTGCAATTTTCTCTAATAAATTAGATTAACACATAATTGTCTACGGAACATCTACTCCTTGGAATTACGTGTACTTATATTCAGAAATTCAGGATTTTCGATTTCAGTCCAGAGATGGCTAAACTGTATGAGGTTTTCTTTGCTACGCAATTACATTAAGACAGATACTGTAAAAACAGAATGCACCGGCCCCTTTTTTCGAATTTCTCTGAGTTCATCTTTTATAACTCTGCTGAAACTGTACTGGATATAACCTGTGTACGAGTTACAGAGTTTTGCTACATAAATTAAGAAATTTTGTATTTCCATGATACGTTGATTAATCAACAAACATCCTTGATATCCCGTTTTACATCCAACACTCCTTTAAAAAAATGTTTAATATCACTACATATACATAATGAGTCTTTTAAACCTGTGTAAAACCACATTGAACACTGCATGTTTCGACTGTCATTGGTCATCATCAGATGTTTTAAAACAGTCTGTGGAGACTGCTATGCTTGTGTTTAGAACACACACAAGGCAGCAGGAGGAAACACCCAGCACGATGAAAAACACGAATGTGTGATTTGACTACAAATCGAACATTAGAAGCGCAAAATACAAGGACATCAGTTTTCACAAACAGCTTTAAAACACTTGATGTTGACCAATGACGGTCGAAATATGTAACGAACAATGTGGTTTTAAATAGGTTTAAAAGGTTTATTGTGTATATGCGATTGCCTCTGTGGTCTAGTGGTCAGAGTTCCTGCCTACAGATCCAGGACTCCCTGGTTCGATTCCCGGAGCTACCAGATTTTCTTAGAAATAGTAGCTCTAGAACGAGGTCCACTCAGCCTCGTGAGGATAATTGAGGAGCTATTTCGAGGAAATAGCGGCTCCGGTCTAGAAATCCGAGATTAACGGCCGTCGGGATCCGTTGCGCTGGCCACGTAACACCCTCTATCCGCTAAAGTTGGCACTAATTTCGCCGACAAGCGGCGGTCGCTAGGTCGGTATAGTTCGCTTGCGGACTAAAACCACGGAGGTTTTTTTATATCTTTGAATATGTTAAATGTTTAAACATTACGATTCAATCGTTAAGCAAGTAAACTCCTCTGTTAATGTCTCTGTTAGTTTAGTATGTAATTTAATCTTCGATGCCTCCTACTTAATAACCCAATATCATCGCGGTTTCTTGTAATATAATAACTTCTTAAAATTTTAAAGAGTAGCCTTCATTAAAGAAGATACTTTTAGTAGTATATTTCATGCACTCTTGTTAATGGATCGACTTTTGGAGTCTGAGTGCTGAATGCTTTTAGTATCCAATAATCTCTTGCCACTTCCACGACCAGAATTTCCCTCACAAGGGAACACACAAACTTGTATATGATGTCGCGTGCCTTGGGCGGTTTAGCGTTACTCNAAGTAAAACGTAAACCAAATTTTAAAAGAAATAATTTGACAAATACTCTTAAATTAAGGTTACAATGCTTACAAATTTTTAGCAGTTGTGTAATATCACAATTCAGAGGATATTTTCCGTTATTTTTGTTTCAGACTACATCTACAACATTTCGAAGGATTGTACTTCATCTTCAATGTGGAGGGGTAACCCAAGCGAGGACTCAGAATCGAGCAGTCGGCAGGCAAACTAAATTTGTAAGTTACAAGCAGTTTTTCTTCCCTCTTGTGTCTTGCTGAATTCTTGTTTATCTTAATCTTCGATCCTGAATAAGGAGTCAATTCACTGGTCCGAAAGACAGTGAAATTCTGAACTACACTTTGTTACATCTTAGAATCTATTGTTGTCCCCGCAGCTTCCTCGAGAGACAGACGAAACTTCGATAACCACTGTTAGAATGGTCCGTCACCGAACACGAGACGTCCCAAATAATAAGCAGGGGCGGTAAGAATCTGACGGAAGGGCTCAGTCCAAATATTCGAATTTTAGATCTGTTTATTAGCTAATGTTATATTCATTTTCAAGCATCAGTTTTTAGAAAACTTTAAACGTATTGCCCCCTTCTCTATATGATTATGCACATATTGACGTCTATGTCCGTTTATACAGATTTATAGCGCCCACTTTTGAAGGATTTTGACGAAATTTTAAATCGGGACTAGTAACAATATTTGGAGGCGTTTCTTACAGGTGAGTGTGGGCTGAAACCTTATTTAAGGGCCTAAAGACATTTTCAATATAGACATTCTCCCTTGTTATTGTTGCAGTTTTCTCTAATAAATTAGATTAACACATAATTGTCTACGGAACATCTACTCCTTGGAATTACGTGTACTTATATTCAGAAATTCAGGATTTTCGATTTCAGTCCAGAGATGGCTAAACTGTATGAGGTTTTCTTTGCTACGCAATTACATTAAGACAGATACTGTAAAAACAGAATGCACCGGCCCCTTTTTTCGAATTTCTCTGAGTTCATCTTTTATAACTCTGCTGAAACTGTACTGGATATAACCTGTGTACGAGTTACAGAGTTTTGCTACATAAATTAAGAAATTTTGTATTTCCATGATACGTTGATTAATCAACAAACATCCTTGATATCCCGTTTTACATCCAACACTCCTTTAAAAAAATGTTTAATATCACTACATATACATAATGAGTCTTTTAAACCTGTGTAAAACCACATTGAACACTGCATGTTTCGACTGTCATTGGTCATCATCAGATGTTTTAAAACAGTCTGTGGAGACTGCTATGCTTGTGTTTAGAACACACACAAGGCAGCAGGAGGAAACACCCAGCACGATGAAAAACACGAATGTGTGATTTGACTACAAATCGAACATTAGAAGCGCAAAATACAAGGACATCAGTTTTCACAAACAGCTTTAAAACACTTGATGTTGACCAATGACGGTCGAAATATGTAACGAACAATGTGGTTTTAAATAGGTTTAAAAGGTTTATTGTGTATATGCGATTGCCTCTGTGGTCTAGTGGTCAGAGTTCCTGCCTACAGATCCAGGACTCCCTGGTTCGATTCCCGGAGCTACCAGATTTTCTTAGAAATAGTAGCTCTAGAACGAGGTCCACTCAGCCTCGTGAGGATAATTGAGGAGCTATTTCGAGGAAATAGCGGCTCCGGTCTAGAAATCCGAGATTAACGGCCGTCGGGATCCGTTGCGCTGGCCACGTAACACCCTCTATCCGCTAAAGTTGGCACTAATTTCGCCGACAAGCGGCGGTCGCTAGGTCGGTATAGTTCGCTTGCGGACTAAAACCACGGAGGTTTTTTTATATCTTTGAATATGTTAAATGTTTAAACATTACGATTCCATCGTTAAGCAAGTAAACTCCTCTGTTAATGTCTCTGTTAGTTTAGTATGTAATTTAATCTTCGATGCCTCCTACTTAATAACCCAATATCATCGCGGTTTCTTGTAATATAATAACTTCTTAAAATTTTAAAGAGTAGTCTTCATTAAAGAAGATACTTTTAGTAGTATATTTCATGCACTCTTGTTAATGGATCGACTTTTGGAGTCTGAGTGCTGAATGCTTTTAGTATCCAATAATCTCTTGCCACTTCCACGACCAGAATTTCCCTCACAAGGGAACACACAAACTTGTATATGATGTCGCGTGCCTTGGGCGGTTTAGCGTTACTCCTGCATTTATGCTCGACGCATGCGTTCAGAAAAATTCCTGGACTGAATCCCAATGCAAGATGTAAATTACAGTGGCGGACTGGCCGTCTCATAGGAAATTGAACATGGTACTACATATCCAGGCGGCACCGATATTTATCTTGGATGTTAGCCCGAGATTCGATCTTGGTACCTCACAAAACATATGTCACTCTACACGATTATTCTGTAAGCAAGACTGGATTTCTGTCTGTACAGCCGCATGTTCGTTTCAATGACCTGTAGATCGTGTCCATATGACTTTGGATCTGAATTTGACAGTCTTCTTCATTAGTGCCCTATAAATAATATATATAAAAAAATATAGGTCTACCTATAACAAGGGGGCGCGCGGTAGCGTAGTGGTTAAGGCACTATGCTACAAGTCGGAAAGTCGCGGGTTCAAATCCCGATGAGATCATTTAATTTTTTTTTTCAATTGACCTAATACTTCCGGCCGCACTATGACCCTGGGATTCACTCAGCCTCTAACAGAAATGAGTACCAGTAATTAAATAAATAATTTTCCTGGGGAGTAAAGCGTGGCCGACTGACAACCTTACCGCCATCTTTGAGCCGATTGTCAAGATAATGTGGGACCCTCAACGTCTCACAACCCTATGGGCCTTCACGGCCTGTTACAGGGATAGCTTTACTTTTTTTTACTTTATACATGTAACAGGCCGTGGCAGATTTCTTGTATAATGTAGTATTATTATTTAGATCTTAAGTCCCTAGTTTGTAAGTATTTTCCCACAAATCATACCAGACTTTNACTTCATTGTCACACGGCTAACCATATAATATTTATATATTATTTATTGGCTGGTGGCTCTGAACCCTTCCGACCGCTTTCCTCAAAGCACCTTGTTACTGCGCTGATCTGACTTATCGATCGCTGACTTGCAGAAACTGTAAGGTTGAAGCTCCAATTTGAACTCACTGTTTCTTCTGCGATTTCACGTAATGAGGAGGTGCATAATTTATACTTTGCTGCAAGTATAATTACGTTGTAGTGATTAAAGGGGAAAGTTGAGGAGGACGGGCATGCATCACGCATGGGATAGACGGGAAATACGCATATAAAATTTAAGAATGAAATCTTGAAGGGAAAAGGAAAGTAATTCACCTAAATGGTGTCAGCTGTATTGCACCAAAAACATCTCATAATAAACATGTTTATTAAAACTCTTACACGTGGTAGCGTAGTTGGTTCAGGAACTATGCTACAAGCCGGAAGGTCGCGAGTTCGAATCGCGATGAGGTGAATTTTTTTTTTCAATTTCCCTAATCCTTCCAGCCGTACTATGGCCCTTTGGGTCGACTCACGACTCAGCCTCTAACAGAAATATGTACCAGGAATATTCCTGGGGGTAAAGGGCGGCCGGCGCGTAAGGCTGACAACCTTACTGACATCTGTGAGCCGATTGTCTAGAAAATGTAGGAGCTACCAGTGCTAAGATAATAAATAATTATAAGAAAGGAACTATGAAAATAAAGCTTAGGCGCACGAAAAACAGATAGTATTTTAGAAAAAAACGAAACTGTGCTCATACAAGCCCAAAATTGTTATAATAAGATATTTAATACGCACCATAAGTAACTGGCATATCTGTGCCTCTACGACGCGTTTATCACTACCGTGGTCAGTCTTTCCAAAAGATAATTTCACATTAAAGGGAAGACGTATAAGACAAAGTATCTGCACTGCAGCACATGGTGTCTTACTGCCGCAAGCGGCCGTATCCCATAACTCTACCTTACAGCAAGGAGCGCACCGGAGATACTAATAACAACACTACGCGGCATAAATCATGAAAACAGTAGCGCAACGCAAAGCACTCGACTTGAAAAAACATAAGAGGGAGTCTTCTAGCGAGGAGATATACTGTTGCTATTCCCGGAGTCCACAAGATGTTCCGGTCAGTTGGCTGGAAAATGGCTACCGTCGGTCCGGTCCCTTGAGAGACCAGTGGTGCTGGAGATAGGTACATTATTTATCTTTTATGATTATTATTTATGTGTTCCCTTCATAACTGCGGTCCTAGCCAAGTGAATCATCAGACATTGTGACTTATCTCCTTCTGACCACTAACGTGCTGGTAACTCGTGGCTTTCCCGCGAGAGGCCGTAACTTACCTTTGTCGTCTGGGTTTGTGCTGGCGGTCTCACTGTTTAGAATCGCATGTTTTGCTGTTACAGAACTACGAATATATTGTCACGTGTCACGGTCACTAACTCGCGGGTTTGGATTTGTAATTGGATTTACTGGATATTTACGGGTCATAACTACAAATAATTATAACACTGTTGCTGATTTACATAATTTACAACCATTCCACACTAATCTTCTCAGTCTATCAGCACTATTCCTCACAGATTTATAACACAGGAACTCTAAAAGTCTCACTAAATCACACACTCCCAATATCACTGCACTACAGCACATATAACGCCTTCAAATCGCATGTTAAATCTTCACAGGCTGACTTCTTGTACTCTTCTTCAACCACGAACTTCCCATGGCTATCTCCTACAGAAAACTGACTCGTTCCTGAACCGAATGAATTCTGTCACTTATATGGTCGATGAACGGACACGCATCACAGGAAACACGTCACGTGATCACCAGCCACCGCTGCGTGACGTCACCGCGGACACGGAATACGTAGCCTCCTTTATTGTCGGACCGTGTTTACAGAGCTGTTGCCTGGCAACGCGTTGATCGAATTCGTTACAATATTGAACTATTATTCTTTGATTTGCCTTCTTTCTTGTTGAGCAGAGAGTGAGCTGATGTAAGAGAAATTTACTTTGTTTGGCCACAATAAAACATGAGTTCTGGACTGTGAAGTATCAGACTGTGTTACGGTACGTACTTGAATATTATTCTTCATAAGAAATCTTAATGACTTGTAGGAGTCACAAGCCTCAGAAGTTACAACAAACCTTGAAGAGTTAATAATTAAATCGGCCTATTGATAACAGCCAATCACAGTGGCTGC